AAGACTAACACTGACCTAGTTTAGAAGTGCAGATGAAAAGAAAATGAAAACAGGATACATGACAACGGCGGCAAGGAAACCATGGCAACCAGAAGAGGGGGACTGTTGTGCTTACTTTATTTTGGTCGGAATAGCCAGCAAGCTGAGCCTTGAGCTCTGTGATCTCGGCCTCTAACAGACGGATGACTTCTTCATAGTCCATTTCCATCCCGTGCGCCTGCCTCTGTGCAGCTTCCGCCAGATGAATCCGACTTCGTAGGGCTCTTGTTTCTTCAACTACCGCTTTGGCTTCCTAAGGATTTCCAAATGGATGCCATTGAAAACAAACAAATAAACATGTAAAAATTGTAAACCACATGTTCAGTGGTTTAGACAAAATATTTTCTTCCCCACTGAAGTCCTAATTCCAAAACTGAATCAATATACACGTGTTCCTGTCATCTCAATTTGAAAACGAATATTCATGTTATTTTATGATATAGAGTAGCTGCCTGATCTTGCTTTTCCTTTGTGGATCAGACAATTTTCAGTATGGAATCACCAGCTTCACACACCTGGCATGACATTTTGAAAATAAGGGAAGTGGGCGAGAATTGAAAAGGGAAAACGGAAGAAGAAGAATTGGTTCAAAAGATAAAAAGAGGAGGCATCCACAAAACTCCAGTAGTTAGTAGTAAGGCTTTATGTTCTAGGGAGGCTCTTGCAGCTTCATCGGATACGGTTGAGAGATTTACAGTATTGTGGGATTTCTCCGGGGTCCAAGCCCCAGGAGCCAGAGCTTACTCCTAGACATCGGTCTCACTGCTACTTTTCCTTTTCAGTTTAAGCCAAACGGTGGAATTCAGGAGCAAACTACATAGCTATTTCTATACGATGCAATGGTCACAAGACGTTTTATGAAACACACGTTACACCTCAGGTGATTCACGTGTCTTCTTCTCATTTAACTTTAAGAACAACACTGAGAGAAAGGAATTATTAAAAATCATTTCATAGGGCCAGCCGAGTGGCGCGATGGTTAAGAACTGGTTTGGGATGCCAGAGGGCCCCAGTTCGGATCCCACATATGAGGGCCAGTGACACTGCCCTCCACAACTAAGATACTGAACAGCTCAACCTGGAGCTGAGATGCTGTGAGTCGCCAGTGACGGCATAGGCTGCAGCCCCTGTGGCAGTGGGTTGCCATGGGCTACCGTGTGCAGCCAGCATGAGCGGCCAGCAGCTGCAGTAAGCAGCCGTCCAGAAGCCGGTGACTGATCTGCCTCGCCCGGGAAGAGCGCAATGATGGTGCCAACTTGGGCCAGTGAAGCAACGTCCTCCACAACTAGACTGAAGAACAAAAGGATAGCAACTTGTCTGTTCCCCTTCCCCCAATTCCCCAGCACTGTTCCCATACCCCAATTCCCCAATGAAAATCTTTTAAAAAATCATTTCATATGTAATCAAACAGAGGCTCAGGGAGGGTACAGAGCCTGTCCGAGGACACGCCGTAATGCCAGAATTTAATGCCCGACTCCAACCTTACTGTTCTTTTCCCTATTTTACTCTGCCACTAGAGGACAAAACAAACAAATAAAATTATGTATTAGCAACATTCTCCACCATAGGAAGAAGATGGCGGAGCCAACCACTTGCTCTCTGAAAATGTGCCTTGGTGCTGCGTCAACGACAGTCCCCCAGGATACCAATGCAACTTAACATGGCAGTTATTATACTGTAAACCATTTATTTTTCTTTACTTGATGCAGAAATCACTTTTATCTGCAATGGAACTTTCTGCTCCAATTGCCATGGCTAATATTCAACTATGGCTATTTTAATTTTCTTGGAGCTATTATAGGACACTTGATTTTGTACCAGCCTAAGCACAACTGAAGTGAAGAGAGGGTTAGGAATCTGGACATATTTTTAAGGATCAAATTTTCATGCATACATTCAATAACTATTTAGTAAGTACTTATTTTGTGTCGAGTTCTAGGTACTAAGGTTACAGCACCAAACAAAATAGACAAAAAAATCCTCCCTCTTACCACCCCCAGAATTTACACTCGAGTTTGGGGACACAGTAAATTGGAGATTATCAGTGATGATCTCATTGAGAAGACCTTTGATCAGAGACCTGCAGGAAGGATGGGGCCATGAAGATTTCCCAAGGCGGGGTTTGCTGGGCTGAGGAAACAGAGTGGCCAAAGGTCCTGAGACGGGATTGTGCCTTGCATCATCAGAGAACAGGAGGAGGCCAGAGTGGCAGCAGCACAGTGACAGGGGACAGGAAGAAGGGAGTGGTAGGGCATGAGGGCAGAGTGGTAACAGGAGCAAGGGTTGGGGTTGGGGTGCAGCGACAGGGCTCAGGGGGCTTTGCAGGGCATTGCAAGGACTTTGGTTTTACTCAGGGTGGGATGGCAAGGAATTGGAGGGGTTTGAGCAGAAAAATGATATGATCTGACTTAAATTTTAAGTGGATTATTTTTGCTGCTGTGCTGAGTGTAGACTGTAGGGGGTGGTTAAAGATGGAGTGGGGAGAGGGGAAAAGGGACAGACGAAAATTAATTATGGCCTGGACGAGGATGACAACAGTGGAGATAATGGGAAGTGGTTAGATTCCAAAGGTAGTTTGAAAGTAGAGCTAACAGGATGGAAAGTTCTTCATCATTAACAACCTTTACTTAGCAGTTGCTGCATCCAGGCAATCATGTTACATGATAAAAAACACAAAGAAGATAAAAGACACCTTTCTTTTTCTGGCTCAGCTTAGAACATTAGGTATGACTTCGATAAGCGAAGAGAGTAGGGGATGTCAGACAAAACGAACAATGTGAACAAAGGAAGAGAGATGAGAAGGAATGTGATACATCTGAGAAAGGACACCAGATCAATTTTGACTGAGCTGATGCTTCCCACAAGGGAGCAATGGATCAAAAAGGCTGAGGAGAGGAAGGGGAAGGACTGGGCTCTGGTGGAAATTGCATCACAGGCAAAGGAGCTTGTATCTGGGGAAGTCCTGAAGACTTCTGAGCAGAAATGCATATGAGAACACAGTGCTTTAAAAAAACTAAATGTGGCTGCAGGATGCAGGGTGGAGAGATGTGGCCAACCAACGGCTACTGTACCCTTGATTCAACCCACTTTATTTCCTTATTTTTCAAGTAATTGTCTTGTGATAAAAGGGTACTTTTAGGAAGAAATGGCTGGGGAAGTAAAAGGACGTTTACCTAGCCACATCAGTCAGTTCGACACAGGGTATCAAGTGTCACCAGGGTCACAGCTGGATCAAGTTTCACATCAGACTGCTGTGCACACCAGGGGTGAGGATGGCTTAGTACCAGCCCGCACTGCCCTAAGTGTTTGACATGGATCAGCTCAGTTAACTGGCATACTGCTGTGTGAGGCATGTCTATTATTATCTTTATTTAATGGATAGGAAATTGAAGCTCAGAAAGGTTAAGTAACTTGCTCAGAATCACAAACCTCGTAAGTGGCTGAGTTAGGATTTGAACTCAGGCAGTCTAGTTACAAAGCTCATGCTCTTGGCGACTATGCTAAAGTACCTCTCCAACTACAGAAAATGCTAAAAAAAAAAACAAAAAAAAAGTTACCTGTAGATAATAACATCAGTGCACAACCCTACACGAGCCTAGGATGTGGCCAACACAATCTACTCAAAAACATTAGACACAGCTCCATCATTCTCCATTTTCCATTCTATCAAGCCAGAAAAAAAATACATTGTCGTTGAAGAGAAAGGGGAGGGGCAGAGAATTCTCCATAGATGCAATGAAGAATAACTAATTTGAGAATCTCTCTCCTTCACACTCACTTTGTGCAGCTTTGATTCCTCTATAAAAACAGCACTTTTATTTTTGCTCAAAGAATGCTGGTTAATTAAATGCAGAATCTGGATGGAATTCATGCAGCCACGATAGTGCACTGACAGTAATGCAGTGTGAAGTGCAGCTGGGTGGGAAAAGACGCAGAGGTTTTGATGCTGAATAAATTCATGCTATTTCCTTTGTAAACGTATAACTGTCAGGCTGGTCCATGTGACCCCTTAGCAAAGTTCTAGCCCAATTCCCACTGAATGGCTGTTTAAAAGATTAGTGCACTGAAGTGATGGCTCTTAGAGGAAGCAGTAAAGAAAAGATAAGCAGCAGATTTAGTAATACGGGGTCACATAAATTCATTTTTTCTTTTCCTCCCAGGCTGTCTGCTAATAAAGCCTCCTATGTCGGTAACAATTGAGCCAGAATTTTCCCAGTTACTTCACTGTGAGCCTGAAATCCTACCAGGGCAAATACTGCAGCCAGTTCACTGACTTACTTTGTATTAGGTAAAGATCAATTTAGTTTAGAAAGTTAGAAAATCAAAGAGGAACTAAGATGGAATAGTAAATCTGAAAAATCAACGTAAGTATTATGCTTTGTAATACTAAGCCTTATACGCAAATATACTAAAAGGGACTTGAATTATGAAGTCAAGTCTCTGACTTAACTTTTCTTTGGTGACACTGAGGAAATGCCTTCAATTCACACTGTCCCATTGTAGAATGAGGATTTTCCACCTCATAATTTCACAATGAATCTTCAGGGAAAATCAGACCAAATTCTTCTGTGAAAATATAATTCAAACTAATGAAAACCTTTAAAGCCTACAAATACTTGGAATTGGCTATGTGATTGTGTTGAGACAAAGGGCCTTATAAACCCACACGAAGGGGAGTATAAGCTCAGGTGAAAGACAATATGGAGTGTGTTTTTCTACATACAGCACTTCCTCCCCATGAGGCAATACGATATACAATAAAAAACATGAGCGCTGAATGAGCTGAACCTCGGTCAGAATCTGAGATCTGGGTATATTTCATTTTCCCGCTGTGTGGTTCTCTAAGACTCAGTCTGTTCATTTGTATAATGGGAAGTAACAACACCTACTTCATAGGATCAAAGCAACTCGCACAAGAGGGCTGAAGAAACTATTACGGTTCTTGTTAGTTTTTCCCCATTCCTCTTTACTGCTTTTGAAAACTATACATATTCACCTATGCGATTAGCGAGCTAGACTAGATAATTCATTAAGGGCTTTCCTGAGGCACTCAATTAGTCATATCAGTTATTGAAATTGAGAGAAGTTGTTTGAAGCATAACGTGTAGGTCTTTTTGATGTTAGCAACAATCACGTAAAAACTTTTCTTCTCCAGTGATGATTTGTAATGGCTCTTAAAATAGAAGGAAAAAGCACTAACAGCAGTTGCACATTTGTAATTAGGCTGGCACATCATTAGCCTTAGAAGTTCTG